AATTTCAGCTTTTTCACCTCTCTTCTGCACAATTTCCTGCCTCTTCTGCTCTTTTGAGCACAATTTTCAGGTTCCTTATCTTTTTTTTTGCTGAACCTTCAGCATTTTAAGCTCTTTCCAGCAACATTTAGCTTCTTCTGCATAGTGAACATTTTTTCTCTCATCATATCGTTGTTTGAGACCAGAGCTAGTTTAGCTCAATGGGAAGAGCAGCTGCTGTGAGATCTAGTGGCACAGGTTTGAATCCTACATGTGACATGTGCTGCACATCTTCCCTACTTGTATGTACTCTGCTTTATTGACACTGCATAGTGTACCCTTTCAAATACAGCCATTTTCAGCAAAGACTTCTGCTTCTACAGCTCTTTTCAGATAATGCTGCTTTTCGGCTGTTTTCACCATATTCCAGTACAAGGCATTCACACTGCATTTTCGCAGGAAATGCAACTTTTTCTAGTTTTTATTATTGTAGGGTCTTTACCTTAAAATGTAAAGCACCTTGAGTTGACTGTTGTTGTCATTTGGTTATATACAAATACAGTTGAATTGAAATGTCATGAATAATCTCACAAATATAGGAGCATAGGCATTTAGATCAAGTTCAGAGCTTTGACATATGACAAAATGACATATTTTAAACAAATTTTTTCATAACTTAAACAAGTAGTTTTGTTCCCTAAAGTTAGTCAAACTGCAAGTGCAATTAAAGAAAAGACTGCATTCAACCAGAAAGACCTGCAGGCAAACTTTCTCCACTAGCCGATGTGAATTAATCAGAGAGAGAGAAAAAATTTCCCTTCCAGACTTAACTCAAACTAATAATTTTTCATCTAAATACAGCCAAAATCATGGCAAACTTCAACTTATGTATATGGTAATTTTGTCAAGACATTTCCAAGAATTACATCTGGACTTTCCGTGCAACGGAAAAGTGTTGCAAGCTTAATTTCAGTCACTGTTTCATACTTTTCCAATTTTCAGACAACACACACCCAACACACATATAAAATATGTAAATGAGAATAGTTTCATTGAGACTTCTGCTGTATTTAAATACAGAGGGCCCAGAGTGTAGGAGATGGTAAAATTATCTGGCACCATGCTAACCGAATACATATAACACCTTCCTATTGTTGAGGGTACACTACATTAGAATCAAATAGACTCAAATTAGAGCTGGGCGATACGTCACGTCACGTGACTTGTTACGTACAGCACAAGTGCCAAGCCGCACATGTGTATTTGTTTGGGAAGCA